TTTTTTTTTTTTTTTTTTTTTTTTTTTTTTTTTTTATAAGTCCAGGTTTCCTTTGAAAGTTGGATAAATCTATGTAAAGAACATCATAATACCATAAAACTGTCATTTTCGTCAGTTTTTGGCATCAAGCACTTCTTTCTGATAGTTTGTTAGGTTTTCTTTCTTCAAAGTTATGCATTTTACTTTGTCATTAATTCTTTGAATTCTACATGGTTTCAGTGGAGGAGTAAGATTAAATGAACTTTAGATTTTTTTTGGAGATGAGTGATAAACTGTCATTAAAAATCTAGATTATAAAAGAAGACAAGAAATCTACCATACTCTTATGCAAATTGTGAAATACAATCATTTTCGCACCACCACTCAGATGTTTATATCTGAAATCTTTGAATTAAAGTAGAAGTGCAGTATTTGTGTCCGTAGAGAAATCTGCGAGAAAAATTCTCTGAGTCTAAAAGATGGTAGCAAAAGGAAACGTCCTACAGTTTTTTTGTTTTTTTTTTTTTTCTGGTGGGACATCCTGTATGACTTACTAGTCGTCCATTCTAAAGAAATGAATGGTTTTTGTTGTTGTTGAAGTCAAATAACAAATTTTGGATGACTATTTCTTCAAGTTCCGTTTGTATTACTTATGAGGATATAAAAAGAAGTTTTTACCCCCAAACTCTTGCGTATTTTCAATTATCAACAAAGATTACTCAGCTCTAGTTTTATCTTTTCCTTGCTCATAGTTTGCAGTAAAAATTTTTTGCGATGGCAGAACATTCCCACCTGTTTTTAAAGTCTAGGCATAAAATTTCACATTTAGAGCCAAATAATATCTTATTGTTATCATTCTCCCTTTTCAAAAATTTCTTAAGAGTCTGTATTCAGTATTACAAGATACGATTAATCTTTAATTAACATTACAGTAAATGGAACCCATTTGTTTTTGACTGTAACTTGTCGATTGTTTACTGACTGGTATAACTGATGTTCTGAGAGGTTGGATCTATTGCTGGCTGTTTTTTACATCTCATCAACATTGTTATTTTTGAAAGCAGACACTTAAGACAGTGCCGTAGACGGAACAAGAAATTAGTCATAGCATATTAATAATTTTCTTTTCGACAAAAAGTGGCCAACAGGTCATAAGAGCATTTTCTACACGACTGTTTGAATATAATTTAGCTTCGATCCGGATTTCAGCATTTATTGACTTTGCTTGATGCGGGTAATATATAAGTGGTAGTGGGAGCACTTCATCTTTTTCAAGTGATGAGTAAACTGTAGATAACAAAGTCAAACTTTCCTTGATGAGAGGCATTTTCAGCTCCTTCATAAAAGAAAAAAAAGTAAACTACTTAAGAACTATTTATTGGTAACGATCGTATCGATAAGAATCGTTACAGAATTGAAACTAGCTGGAACACTCTGCCTGCTGTGAAACTGTCACAAATATAGGTAGACCAAAAGTGTTGATAACCTCAGCAATAATCTGTTACAGAGTCATGAATATTGGTTTACTTGTTCAAGCAACTAATTGTTCTTCTGGCCTTTATTGCTGTCAACTTCAGGAAACCAATCAGGAAAGAGAACTGACCAATGAGGTTTGTTGCAATGTGTATTAAAGTTTCTTTTGTGGTCATAACTCTCCAAATCGTTGCGTGGGCGCTGAGTAAGACACCTGCGAGGGACTTTGCTAAAAATTATGTCGGTGTATTGCCGTTTGTAGTTGGAGCTCTTGACTAACCTTGCCTGCCTTAAACCTATTAACACTTTAATTTACCCCGCAGGAATGATAAATGATGAGCCTCTAGTCAATGTGTACAGTTCGTGCATAAATTTTTTCAGTGTTTGATTACCGATTATTTTGACTTTGGATGTTTTCCGTAGTTACCGGATTTACGCTGGATTTACTTCCACGTAGCTGCTTCCAGTTTCCATAAACTTTTTCAAAAGCTGCAACGAGAAGAACGATGGTAATGGTCTGTCAAACAGCCATTTCTGTAATTTTTTCTTCGTATCACTGCAAGTATCAGACACGGCAAGTTATTTCAGGCATTCTTAGAAGCTTATGAAGAGATCTGCAAAAACTGAGTATTTTGGTGCCAATCCTAGTGCACCACTCAGAAGTGAGTAAACAATTACTAAAACTGCAAGAATAATCTATTCTCAAAAATACGGAAATTGCCTTCAAAAAAGCAGCAACATTCGGTATTTAAACAGTTTGAATGCGAAGGAAATTTGTTTCTAACGGTAACTTTTCGGGAAAAAACTTTTTCCTATTTTTAGGACCACCTCTGTACATGTTTAAATAGCTTGCTTTCCTCTATGCTAAGTACTAGCATCGGTCTACCACTGAGGTCTTCATGAAAACTAGCTGCCACGTCGTAGTCTTTACGTTTATTATTTTCTAAAAATTCTTGCAGAATTCAGAAAAACATTGGTTTACATTAAATTTTAAACATAATCCCGAGGAGTCATTGTATTTTAGCTGCGAAACTTGAATATTGATAAACTCCCCTTTTTTTTTTTTGGTAAGCAGTTTCCTGATCCTACTTTATAAACGTGTCGCAGACTTGCTTACTCATTTCCTCTCTACTTTTTATGATCGGGGAATATAGCTGCAAATCTTCGCTGTACTTAATTTTTGGTACTGCATAGCTAAGTAGATTTAGATCAGGCTTGACAAAACCGGTTCAGAACACTCTCAAATGAGGCAAGTGACTGAAGGACAGAAATTCTTGAAGTTTTGTGCAACAGCCTGAAAAAATATGGAAAAGATCTTTTAATTCTTTCAATGCTTTCTTTGGGATTTCTAAACAGTTGTAATGAGCTTTCTTAGCACGTATCAGTTGTTACGACCACCGGACAATACAGATTTCAGAAAATGCGGCAGAAACAACTATGACTGTAATACTGCAAACTGTTCCTTCCATCGTATTAACAGTTCTACACCTGCATAAAGATTGCAGCCTTTGCTACTTTTGTCCAAAATTTCCAAATGCGATGCACCAACACGGCCTCCGACAGAAAAGTCCAACAGTCCCCTCCAAAAGATAGATTTCTTTCAAAATAAGTCAACTTTGGTTATATTTAACACAGGTATCAATTCAAAAGCTTGCAAAGCAAAACTTTAGATCTTAATCTGGCTTTTTTCATAAATGTAACATTGTTTTTTCATGTTGCTTCCTTTTTTTTTTTACTCTGGTAACCGGACGTATTATGCACCAAAGTTTGACAGAAGTATGACACAGGAATGATAGAAATTTATGTATTTGAAATGATTCATCTGCAGTACGCGAGAACTATAATTTCTGGTATGTGTGAAGATTACATCTTTGTAGAAAAGATCAAGAGTAATGAAGATTTTTAAGGGTGATTTGTTAAACCGCTGACTCACCATTAAGCAATTAGTTTCTTCATTCTTTCCGCTATATAACAATAACTGAAGTCTATTTCCAAAGATGTAGTACCGCAGCACTCCATAAACCAAACTTGGAAAAAACCTTGTCAAAAGAAACAGCTGCCGGAATCCCTCTGTTTACATTTAAAAGTCGAAATCTTACAGTGAAGAGAATGTATACAACAAACATAGAACCCGGTGTGTCTTAAAGGGAATTAACTTAAGATCAGCTGCATCAAACAAAACAGACGTGTTGACAAGTGATTGGAAAAAAAAGCGAACAAAAAAGTACAAAACCATTCCACGAAACGTTGACTTTTTGAAGCTTACTTTGAATGGATTATTTAATTTTCACCCAGAATCAGTTTATTACAACAACTTATAACTCTGGTAATTTGAACAAAACTTTTTCCAAACTAAACCTCATGAAAAGCCTTAACGAATCCACGCATTGTTTCAAATAAAGATTTCATTCATTTTCATATCTGCACGCCACGAGTGTAATCATACTCAATTGTTGGGATGACTGCCTGAAAATTATTGGAAGCTTTCATAATCTTACAGAAAAATCCACCAAAAAACTTTCACAAAGAACGAGTACCTGAACAAATTTAAGAAAAATTATTAGATAATGCTCCACTCTAAGTTCCTTTCCAGTCTCAGCTATCTGCTCCATAAGGCGCTTCATAACTTCAGAATGCCTACATGGATGAATAGTAGCCATAACAGTGTTGTGCAGATGAGGGTGATTTTCCATTGTTATCGTCTTCCTCGCGTGATCCTGTAAAGAATACAGCAATACCAAATACTAAAAATGCAAATTAGAAAAATATTCTTTTTAAATGAAGGGGTAAATTTGTAATTAATTTACCTACCAAAAATTTTACAGCAATATTAATGTAAACTAAAACAATCAAATTCCAGAAAAATGTTTTTTAAACGCTCTACTCAAAATGAGTTTTGCATACTATCTACAAGAAATATTTTTTGTAAAAATGTTGCTTGTATAATTTGATTGCCATTACTTGCGAAAAATCTTCATTCATTTCTTCATCAGTTAGTGGCTGATTTGCTTCATTGTAGCCGTTTAGCCAAAACCTTGGTACCTAAAATAGTAATTATGAAAAGAGTAATTAATGAAAAGTGATAAGTGCAAGCTGCACATCCAGTTTTTAGGTCAGTTTTAACCGCAACCACACTTGCTTGAGAATACAATACTTGGCAAAGTAAAATTGAAAACTGTATCAGATATAACAGCAGTGAGCAGTTTAAGCTAACCAAGTTAATAATATAAAAGAATTGTCAGTCGGTCGCTTCAAACAATATCAAAATTACCAAAAAAGATAGATAGCATCAGTAAATCAGCACTGGTGACAAACAGTTTGATTAGGTCTAATAACTTTCTTTTTCACGAACGAGTAATGGTGCCCGAAGACACCCCACACATCTGACATATACTGGAAGACAGAAAGCAATATTAACCCCAAACCAGCTTCTTGATGCATACATCCTTAAGCGAGGTACTAGACAAATCAAACTAGTTAGCAGTGTTTGTAACACACTAATAATGTACACTTATATGTTGGACTATCAGAGATCCGTGAATGAAGATAAAGATTTCTTGCCTGATAATATTTGTCGTAAGTTATGTGAAGGTTGTAAGTTCTAGTACGTAAAAGAGAATCGTCTTGAACAGCACTCTTTGACGCTGCCTTTGATGCAACAAACCTAAATAACTATATAACGATATACATTAGATAAACTGTTCATGTAATATATTTTTTTTCATCGTACGCTGACAGTTTCTTATATCTTACGTAGAAACCTGTTAGGATCCTCAATTTCAAATACGCCTGATGCCATATATTCATCCATGTCTACAGCAGGCAGTTCCTCGTCATCTGCTTCTTCTTCAGTTACACTACTCTGGAAACACCTTATATCAATAGAAAACGCGAAAGGTAGGCACAATTCTCTAGTGCTAATTAAAATCAGATTTGTTTGTCGGTCTCAACTCTGCTAGGAAATTGAATCAAATGAATATAAACTTTGTGAGGCTGCAGTGTGATATATGTATGCTTTGATTACTTCACATAAAATTTTTCTACCACTTTAAAATAAGAGAAGAAAAATCAACCTCAACAGCAACAGAGGAAACTTCCTCAATATTCTTAACATCTTCAGCTTCCTTCTCAGACGCATAATGATGTGTGTCTACCCAATCACCGAACTCATCATTATCCCCGCCTTCAAACATTTCTTTATTCGTTAATACCTGCAATTTGAAGAATTATTTTCCTTTGTATATTCTACCTTCTTTTCCAACAACAAATTAAGACAAAAAAAAAGTTATACAATTGAATAAAACCAAGATCCCGTCCGAGAATGCTGACAAAAAACAAAGAGTTCTAAAGTTTCCACCCTTCTACATACTTATTGTTATGTCCACTCAGTGCCTCCAGTTTTATACGTCAATTTGCTTAACATAATGAAATATATTTACTCTCATAGCTCCTTATCAATAACCATAATTATAATTACAACCACAACTACAGTGAAACAACAATAATACTTTATTACCTTAAAGTTCATATTTTTAATAAGTTAAGGTAACGTAACAACAAAATATGGGTAAAAAAAACTACACATACCTTTTCTTGAGTAGGGTCGTAATCCATATCAGTGCATCGTCTATAGCATGGGACGTTCCGCGTCATTAAAAACTGCTTATCTTCTGGTAAATAACTTCTTTTTCTAAAATCTAATCCATTCTACCCGATGCAAACTTCAATGATAGATTAATATAATAAACCACCTTTATCTCTGAGCAAATTCTTAACCAAATGGCCTTTCCAAACTTAGCGCAGCAGTTTCTTACAAAGTAAATGATACTTAATTTTTATATCACCAACAAGGTTACTTTGAAGCGTCGGCAGCCGGAGCCCACGACCAAGTCGGACAGTGGTAAACTAAATAATCTCCAGCAGCAACGAATTCATCCGGAGTCAAAACGCCAGTTTCCTTGAACTTTGAGTCTCTCAGCACAGGGGTTAAAGCTTCAGAAACACTGAGTGCAGCTCCCTTGACAGTATTTACAAGAGATTCCATAAAAACCAATGCTCGCTTCTAAAAGAAAAACATTCCTAAGAAGTTGAATGAACAACCCGTCATGCTAACTTTCATTGAAGGGAAAACAAAGTGGTGTCACCAAGAAGTCGTAAAAGAAGCAGAAGTACTGGGTAAAACAAAGGCAGACTTTTTTGTTTTTGGGAAACAGATATATGAAGTGCCTTCAAACTGTAAGCTCCTCATCAATCTATATTATCTGAATGCCCCTCAAGATTACTAAATGATGAAATCACTTACGTAAATTACGGTAACAAAACAAATTACTTTTCAAATGATGAAGTCAAGGAACAAAAGTGAGTACTGATTAGCTCACAACTAAATTCTTGAAAATTATTAATCTTTCACAACATCTAAAATTTGTCACCCTTAAAAAGTAAAAACACAGAAGTTACCCATGAGAGAAGACCGATCAAACGTACCTCAAAATAATAAAAGTATCTAACCCAGTAAAAAATTGTAATGAAGAATACCAAAGGAGTGATAGTGGTTGTATTCCTGCGAAACAGTGAAAAAAAGTGTAGTAGAGAAATTGTATCGCCTACTGTTTCAGTTTTTACTTTACTCTCTTGTCTAATTTTTAGACTTACTGGTTTTCCTTTACTAAGCCAGAAGAGACTTTGCACCGCAAAATCGATCCATTGAAGAAAACGATACGAAACTTTGTTCTGATGTTTATTTATTTGTATTTTAGTTTGCTTGACCTGCCAAATTCCAATCGTTTCCGTACCAGTTTTGTAATACTTTTCCCCTCCCTAGTTGGACAGGTGTTCAGAAGCAATGTCGTTGTGTTTTTGTCATCACTGTTATGGAGATGTTGATTAACAAGGTAGAAAAGTTTAAAAGTGTTCAAGATTTAGCTAATGGTAGTGGTTTTGTTAATAACCTTTCTAGGTGACCCATCTCCATATCAAATATACTATGAGTATACATATAAAATATATATACAAAGTATATATAAAGTATACATATATAATTGTTTTAGCCGCTAAAGACGAGGTGTCAGCAAGAAAAACACGTGAGAAGTATATGTAATGGGTAAAGCGTCGAAGAAATATTTGCTGAAATAGAAACAGACCAGACATAACAACCAAAAACTTAATTTTTTCAAACTTCTTTTTCCTTTTTCACATTGTATCAGTCGCGGGTATGTGCAACATAACGGGAACCGGTGGACGTTTAATTGAACGCTCCTAAGAGCGGCAGTTTCAAACGTGTTGTCAAGCGGGAACGAACTATAAATGTGGGAACAGATTCGGACACAAGGTTATTGATCAGACCATGATTGTTGGTCTTGTATTGCTTAGTATGGCAGAATTATTTCACTCCAGCAATTTTCATGTGCCCATATCATTTAATGTTATTTACTCTTCTGGATTTCTTGATCGTTGCTCACCCGTATCAATTATGCTGTAATGGATATTCCGTACAGCATCATATGAAGTTCCTAATAAACCCTTTCTTGTTCTTAATTAGATGGACCAATCAAAAACAGTTTTTATTAAAGTTTTTTCTGGGTATCCCACAATAAATTGCGTATTTCGAAATGGCAACTTTTAAGTGGTTTCATATTTAGACTTACCTTACCACCACTTCCACAGT